CGCATATAACAAACTGGAATGTGACACTATTGTATAAGAATTTCTTTTAAGTCAAACTGAAGTCCACTAACCTTACACCAAACACTTTAAATACACATATTTTTTTTACGATTATAATCAATTGACAAGAAGATATTATTAAAAAATAGGGTATTTATACGTATATTTTAGCGTAAGTTTTAGGGTTTTGACTGAATCGTCATATACTAATTTTCAAAATAACAAAAAAAATGAATAAAAGCTTTATATTACTGATTATAGTACCTATCTGATTCTGTTTCTAGTATTTCCATTAGTGGTTTTAGAGATACATATACCGATTTTGAAATAAAACATTTTCACATATTTGTTTAGGTGTTCAGTTTTAAAGAATACTAATTTTGCACTAAGAGTTAAAAATGTTTTGTGTTGTTAAGATCTTCCGAATTTTATTACTAACTTGAACAAAGATGGCCGCCTTAAGATATGGCCTTTATTTGTTAATGTCAAACACGTCTATTCCGCCATTGCCACCTTAGAATTGTTACCAAAATGGTTTATATAGTTTGTTCGATAATCGTTCAACGTTACGTTATCTATTGTCCCATTCTTTCTTTCTCTTGAAAACCAGATGAAAGAGATTGCTAACGTCATTACAGTATTTCGTAAATTACAGCACATTCTTCTTTCTGACAATTAATTGTCATTTGATTCAAAGTAAAATTCTATATAGTTTCAGCAACGGATAGCAATCAATGTCTAAATTAAACATCGATTGTACTGTTACATAAGATTCATCTCTTTTCGAGAATGAACAAGCTCAAGTAGTGACTAAAAATTTAAAATTTATATTTTTTTAATCGATAAAAGCGGAACGCGCTCAATTATTATTTTCTGAACGTATTTAAAATTTTCTAAACATTATGAACTGATACTTAGTAGATATCTTAAAAACGGCGTATCGGCGTAACGGCGTAACGACCTTGAATCGATTTCCAGTAATTCTATTGGCTGACATTTTTGACAGATGAATTTTTCAGCCAATAGAATTACTGGAAATCTATTCAAGGTCGTTACGCTGTTACGCCGTTTCTAGGATAGTGTGGATGCACTCTGATCTCTGACACTACCTAACACCCATATTTTATAAATAATAATGACGCACCTTTGACCAAAGTATATCTCTAAAACCGCTACAGAATATACCAACAAAGTATACAGGGTCCGGCAATAGTGCATCGGGCATCTGTAGCTCCTAGAATAAAAAACTTGAGAATTTTGTTTAAGTGCAGACCTAAAGTATGTACCAGGATGTATTTCGGGAAAATATTTTAACTTCTATAGGGTGGCTCAAAAAAGTGTGAGTGGACCTGGACGATTTTTTTTAAATGGAACACCCTGTATGTTATTGCATTTTTGGCTTCCTTTCAGATCACTTTACATAACCCTAAGATATGAATAAATATATTTCGATAGTTTCAGAGATATTAAAAAATAAATCAAAAATATATATTTTTCAGCCCTTCTTAAAAAAATTATTAAAAATACAAAAACTGTCCTGAAATCAAAACTATATTAGGTATTTACATTAGATGGTCTGTTCTCACTTTGCTATAAATATGATAATCGTAAATCATACAGGATGTTCAATATTCTACGCCAAACTTTCTAAAATATAAAATATTTTTTCTTTGTTTTTTTTTAAATGGAACACCCTGTATATTATTTTTTTATTAGATGGAGATTAAAAAATGAACATTTTTTGTATTTAGAGTATTTCAAAATTCTTAACGATTTCGCAAATACACGCAGTTATTATTTCATATGGCGCTTTCAATGGTAAAATATGAGAGAAAAATCATTGGTTGGCTTTGATAAAAATTTACTGTGGAAAATGCCATATGAAATATAAAACCGCAAATATCTGCGAAACCTTTGAAAATTTTGAAATACTCTAAATACAAAAAAATGTTCATTTTTTAATTCTCCATCTATTGAAGAAATAATATACAGGGTGTTCCATTTAAAAAAACAAGAAAAATTATTTTATATTTTAGTAAGTTTGGCTTAGAATTTTGAACATCCTGTATAATTTAAGATTTTCATTATTTATAGCAAAGTAAGAACAGACCATCTAATGTAAATACCTAATGTAGTTTTGATTTCAGAAAAGTTCTTGTATTTTTAATAATTTTTTTAAGAAGGGCTGAAAAATATATATTTTAGATTTATTTTTTAATATCTCTGAAACTATCGAAATATATTTATTCATATCTTAGGGTTATGTAACGTGATCTGAAAGGAAGCCAAAAATGTAATAATATACAGGGTGTTCCATTTAAAAAAAATCATCCAGGTCCACTCACACTTTTTTGAGCCACCCTATAGAAGTTAAAATATTTTCCTAAAATACATCCTGGTACATACTTTAGGTTTGCACTTAAAAAAAAATTCTCAAGTTTTTTATTCTAGGAGCTACAGATGCCCGACGCACTATTGCCGGACCCTGTATATTTTTGAAATCAGTAAAGAGTGATATATTCAAATGAAGCAACAGATATAGAGAATTCTATTAAAAACTGTAACTTATGTTAAAAATTTGACAGTTCAGATTTTTTTTTGTATTTGGAAAATTAGATTATGGTGAATCAGAAATAAATGTTCAACACTTTCAATGTTTACTCTAAACTTTTAAACGTTCTAGTGTTTGATGTAGGGCAATGGGTCTTTTGTATGGGGTTATGTATAATTTTGGAATTGACTAGATCTGCAGAAACAAACAACCAGAAGGCAAGCTGCGGCAAAAGCTGCACGTCCTTAATTAATAATAATTATTAGCTTGATAGTGAGAGAACACTAACACATACTGGTGGTTAATACTCGACAAGATGATGTCTTTTGTGGAATGCACTCAATTGCTTAACAAATATAACATACTTTTCGTAATACTACAAGGATAAGATACGTATTAACCGATTTTCTCGGTCAAGATTGCCCATTAAGTCGAAGTAATACTTATTTAGTCTAAAATTCGAGCAAGAAAAACATTTCTTTTTTTTTAAGTAAAACGAGAAAATATATATTATAATCTAGAAACTAAACGCATGAGATCTGTTTAGAAAATATAATATCATCAGACGGGACCTGCTTTTTCACATCTAAACAAACCAGTCTAAACAGATCATTTTTTAAAAATCTAGATATTTTATTTAGTTGTAAAAAAACTAAGTCCTCAAGAAAACATAAGTACACACCCAAGAATTAGAAATGTGCCCATACAGATTCAAACATCATGTAAAAAACTTGTATATCTTTTAAAATAATATAAAGAAAAAAGTAAATTGAATGTATATTTATTTTATACTAAAAAAACCATGGCTAAAACATTTTAAGAAACTTTCGCAAAAACATTTTACCGCTAAGCCCGAAAAATCGTCTTTTCTTGTTTCCATTGAATTTTTCTCCGCAGAGGGAATTTTCAATAGCAGGCAAATTTCCGACACAGATAATCCTGAAAGCTATACAATTGAAAGCCATATGGGAGACACTTCTTTTTATCGGATGCTCAGATATATCCTAACAAGACATACTCTTTGAAATAGAAACTCACTCGGATTTTTCGTTGAGAGATATTTAAATGTCGCATCGCGACCAAAGATTATTAAAATTTGTTACAGCTTAGATCTATCCATGACAAAGATTTGTAAAAAGATTCTCAGTGACAGTTAACTTTAAATAATAAAGTACAGTGCTTTTAATTTATTTTGTCCCACTTCGAGAGATAAAGATAAAGCTCGACTTGAAATGTTATCTCTACATCAACCTTTCTGATGTTTTCTTTCAATGTCACGATTTAAGATAGATCAAAGCCAATAAAAAACTCAAAATACCTGAAAATAATACGAGTTTCTAGCTCTTAGACTATGTGGCAGCGGGTTAACACCGAAAGCAATTAAGTACCTCACTAAAATGCTAAGTACTTGGCAACACAACCTAGTTTTCGCAACCTTTGGGTACAAATTATTGCCATCTCTCTCAGACTCGTCTCTTGCCTAAACGCGTAAGTAATACTGATTATTGCGAGTTATTTATTGCTAAAGACGCCCGCAGATGGCATCTTTGCAAAAAAAAACGAGATTCCTTATTCCGATCGGATAGTGCTGTGGAGGGGCTAACCTCGCCTAGTTTAATAATGTGTGGGATAAAAGGGAATAGGCACGATACGCCGCCACTGATCGTCTCCAGACATCAACGAAATTAGGAACAATATACAGGGTCGCTGATATGAACGGGAACGGTCGATTATTAGGTAAAATATAAGAGGTATCGCAAAAAGTTAAATATAAAAGTTATAGGGGTTTTTAATGTTTATTAGCGGGTAATAAATTTAAGTATACAGGGTCAGTAATAAAGTCGTAGTACATAAAAGTTTCATTTTTTTAAATGGAACTCCCTGTATATTTTTGCATATTTCGGTTCTTCCTTCAATTCTAAGCAAAAATCGAGATACACACAATGTACCTCAAACCAATTATGTGTATTACGGTTATATACTTAAATTCAACAATTTCAGAATTATGAGGTCTTGGTTTTGAAATGTTAAGCGAACATTTTGTAATTTCCTCATTTTTTCTCAATTTTATAAATTCTCATTTTATACATCTATAAATGCTAACTTGAAAACTAATGTCAAATATTATTGAGTATCACAGTTTCCACAGAATGGCATTGTTAAATGAAACCGAACACATCGAAATTAATTAAATCGAACTGTTTAGTGATATTTTCAAAAGTCAATAACCCGGAAACGGTTGGTTTGAGGTACATTGTGTGATTAGATTTTTGCTTAGAATTGAAGGGAGAACCGAAATATGCAATAATATACAGGGGGTTCAATTTAAAAAAAATGAAACTTTGATGTGCCACGATTTTAAGACCGACCCTGTATATTTAAATTTATTATCCGGTAATATATATTTAAAAACCCTATAATTTTTATACTTAACTTTTTGCCATACCTCTTATATTTTACCTAATAATCGATCGTTTCCATACATATCAGCAACCCTATGATATTACGTGGAGGCTGAATATAAGAGCACACGCCGCAAAAAAGTCTTTTTTTCTGTCATTCGGAGCAGCGAAAAAAATTATCGTCAAGATGAGACAACAACAGTGTGAGCGAGTTAAAAGTATTTTAAGTCTTGTATGTTTTGCTGCCGGGGGCGCCGTCCGTCGCTTAGACGTACATGCCGACGCCGTACATGGAGCCCCAGTCGACGCCCTGGAAACTGGACATGTCCACGTTGGTCAGGTTGTAGCCCTGGTAGGCGCTGGGAGCGACTTGCTGGGCCGCAAGGGTGGGAGGGCCCGGGGGAGCGGGTGCTGGCTGGGGCTGGCCGGCCGCCTGGGCTGCCGCGGCTCCTACGCCACCTCCTACTGCCTGAAGCGGGTACGGGGAATATCTGAAACAGAAATTAAGGTCGGTCGTACATTAAGTCATCTTAAGGTTTTAACTATGGAGGCTAGAGGTAAGGAGAATCATCTTTTTATATAGAAAAGCGGTCATCAAAGAGAGTACAATTAAGATGGCGCGGCGCTGCTGTAGCAAAAGTTCTACATTTGAAGTTAAGCGCCAAGAAATGTTAAGAAAAGGATTTTTTTTCGGTCATATTTCTTCTTTATTTTTTCTTATTTTTGAAGTATTTATTTGTAAGTATCTAATGTACCTATCTAACATGTATTCATTATCAATCAAAAATGTCTAGTACTTAGACCTACTGAAAATAGCGATGTCGAAAGTATCGTAACGACTGTAACTGAAGCATCAACGACAACAGCGACCGATCAAAGCGCGATGCTACCTACTTACCAGTTCCAGTTACTACTGTTCGCGACCGACGAAAACTCGACCTTACGCTTCATCAGTCGCGCGACCCCTGGTACTGGAGCGAAGTACGTCGCGGTATAGATCGTTACCAGTTACATCTCTTCGCGACAGACGAAGCGGTCGAAATCGCGTGACGCTACGTACCAGTTCCAGTTACTACTTTTCGCGACCCGCGGAGCGCGACGGCTGGAGCGAAACACGGCGCTATGCGGTTCGAGCTAACTCCAAGAGCGATTACAAATAATGTATTTGCAAATTATAAATAATTTATAGTTTTGTCGTTATTATGATCGTCGTTCTTCAGTACCAGGTTCCAGATTCCACGTTACAAAAAAATACCGCTCCAAAATCGCGTTACTCAAATACCGACACATCACCAGTTCGAACTCTTATTGCTTATTAGCGCTACCCTAGCCATTCTTTAAAACTTTATTCTCCTCTTTTAGGTCGCCACTTTTGCCAACAAAATCCCGTATGAGATGATTCTCTTTACCTCTACCTTCAATAGTATTAACATAACAAAGACACGAAGGGATCGAAACATACTTCGAGTTTTAATGTAAATATAACTTAAAAGAAAGACATTATTTGTCTGACCGAAAATGTTTATTTTTAAATATATTTATTACATTATTATATATATTACATTCTTTCTTTAAAATTTTATTCTATTGAATAAAATTTTAATTAAGTAAAGAAACACTACATATTTGTAATAAATTAAAACAATAATTTTGAAAATCAAGAAATTTCATATATCATATAAACGTGTAAAAATGCAAGACTATTTTTTTTTATATTCTATTTCCTTCCATTAAATTTAATCTACTACATATGTTGCCATATTATCATGATAGTATGTTTCTTAACTGAAAATTAAAAATTTTCCAATTTTCTTCAGAAAAAAATACCACCCCTAAAATGTTTGTACTTATTTAAGATCCAGTATAGTTTAGGTAATAAAAAAATTGTTTCAATATACGCGTTGTTTTCCAGGAACGTAACCCCCGCATAAGATGAGAGTCAATTTTATTTAGCTGTTCTAGTAGCGTAGGTATCTATATTTTAAAAAGTTATTTTTAAAATATAAAAAGTTGTTTTGTTTTATATAAATTAACATAACAACTAACCTGTAACTAGCAAGATGAGGAAAGGCCCCAAATAACTTTCCGTAACTTGCTACCGCCGCATTTTGCGCCTGAGCAGCAGCTGCCGCAGCGGCGGCTGCTTGAACATGAGCCAGAGGCTGAACGCCCGCCAATGGATTGACAGCTGCTACGGCACCCGCCACTGGAGCTGCCATGCGCATGCCAAGCCCGCTCAGCATCAGTCTCTTTCCAAGTAGCTGCGCGTTAGCTTGTACTGCTTCTTTGGGCTGCGCCTTCTTACACTCGACCTACAAACAAGAAGAAATAAAATATCTCGTAAACTGGCTACATAGTGTGAACTATTGCCTACCACATTCAAAATAATATTTACCTTCTTATTTTTGATGGTGTGAAAATGTATTTCGCAAACGCGATCCACGACATCTTCATTTTCGAACGTGACAAATCCAAATCCTCTATGTCTTTTGGTCTGCTGGTCCATCAACATCACAGTCTCTTCCACTTTACCGAACTGACTGAAGTAGGCTTTGACCTCGTCAGCTGACGTGTCTTGACTGACACCACCTACGAATATCTTCTTGGTCTTGTTGGGTTGTTTTGGTCTGTTCTTTGGAGTGGCGTGTTTGGGGTCGATCTTCTTGCCGTCCAGCGTGTGTATGGGCACTTTCAGGACCTTTTCTACGCTTGAGGGTTCGGAGAAGGTTATAAAACCAAAACCACGACTTCTCTATAACAGGAATAATATAATTATTAGTATAATCTTTGTGATATATTGAATTCTGCAAACTTATGGGAATATCGTCAATGAAAGAAGCTTCCAGCAGATTGTAGATATTACCCGATAGTCAAGAAGCCTTAAGAGCGATCAACTCGGTAACCATAAATTCGAAGTTGGTCAAAAAATGCCTAGAAGCTGAACAAATTAGGCAAGAAAATAGAGTCCTCCTACTCTGGGTGCCAGCACACCAAGAGATAGGAGGTAATGAAAAAGCAAATTTAATGATCTAGCCAGAAAAGGAGCGAACGCTCTACTAACTGGACCAGAACCTTTCTGCGTCCCAAGTAGAAACTAACTTAAAGCAGAACTCAAAAAACCTGGAAGACTCCATCCGTAATCTGGAATAGGAATCATCCAACGGTCTAAGACACTCGAAGAAATTTCTCAGGACTTACGACTGAGAAAAATCAAGGGGTTTCATTGATTTATCTAAGGAAATTCTTCGGATTGTCATGGGCTTTTAACAGGACACTGCCTTCGCAATGATCACCTCAATAGATCGAAGCTAAGAGACAACAGCGAATGCAGATTCTGTGGGGAAAATGGGGAAATGGGCATTCGTGCCATAAACTTTGGTACGATAGATATCAAAGATGGAGAACTAACCTCTGTAAAACCGTTTCAGATACTGGCTGTTGTCCAATCCCTGAGCGTGTATGATGAGTTATAACTCAAGAAAGGTGGACACAATAGATCTTTAAGGTCGCGGTGAATTATTCTCCTCCTCACATATAATATACACTGTTCATTGACCCTTTACTATGGACGAATCACCGGATTTGGGAAAGATTCCATCATCAAATATTGGTCCGGGGACAAATTGTTTCATTCTTCTTGAATGAAACACAAATTAGAACCTATCTACATAATTTTCAATTATTCCTTCAAGATGATCATTAAAAGCGACAAATGGCGTTAACAAAGGGCGTCAAGATGAGGCAGCAGATTACTCAGTAACGTCACCGACTTGTTTAACTGCAAGATAACAACTTAAAGAACCATCACAATTATCCATAAGCCATTGCCATAAGTTTGCAGCAAAAAAACTATAATTTCCAAATGAATGAACCATTTTTAAATCCAAATATTTACCTGTGTCACTGGATCTTTCATGATAAGTACATCCGTGACATTACCGAACATGCCAAAGTACTCTTTCAGTTTTTCTATCGACGTTTGCCAACTGAGTCCCCCCACGAACAGTTTGCCCGAAGATGGGTCTCCCGCTCCGCCATTTTGTCCGTTGGGCGTGCTTCTTCCGCTGGAGCCAGAATTGGAACCGTTCACGGTCACCAATTGAACATCGTGGTGGTGGGCATCTAGAAGGCCATTGCCGTCACCCATCGTCGCGCTAGAATAGAAAGAAAATGATAATTAGTTAAAAATAATTTTTCTTTTTTATTTTTAGGTGATTCCAGTGTTTTCACTAGCTCTTTTAGATTGCTGCTGGATGGCTTTTTGTACCATCAAGGGATTTCAGAGGACGGATTGTGTATTGTAAGTATATTCTATTTATGTCTATCCCGACTTTAAATATGATATATTTAGTAGTTATTTATGCATTGTATATTTGTCACACGATGGACTTTAGTAACGTTCGTGGTTTATCTTGTCAAAGTGTTGCTATAGATTCTGTAACATGAATCTTTTGTTCATTTATATTGAGGGTGTTATAGATGATAATGTCCTGTAATATGGATTCCAATATTAATGACCACTATATCGTTGACTGAAATATTTATAAAGACATATTAAATATAATTATTAAAGTATGCTTAATTTAAAGTTTAATATAACATAACAATATGGAAGTACCTTGAATAAATATAATAAAAATATCTTATTATACCGGGTGCGTCTCAAAAATGGCTCACCCCCTATAACTTTTTTATTTTTTCAGATAAAAAAACGAGATTTGGTATGTTAATATATGACATAAATTAGGATTGATTGACGTATTCAATTGTATTTGGTCACTTACTGTTTCACCGGAAATGAATACTTTTAATTTTTAAATGGCACCCTCCGTATATTTTTACTTTATTCGATAGAAACTGACACTCTGAATAATATATTCATATTAATATGTCAACTTTTGAAATGTTCGCTTAAAAACAAATTGTATTTTAAATTTCAATCTAGAGTGCCATGTTATGTTAATGTTAGTGCCATTTTATGCCATGGCTGTGTTAAAAACACTAACTAATGTTGTTTGTGTCTTGTCCTGGCCATTTAAAAAATGCCCCAATGTTTTAATCATATCTCAAGTTTTTCAAATGGAACGAGGGTGGCTCATTAGCATTTGGAAAGAGCATTTTTTACGAATAATTTGATACCACACACTTAGTGTTTCGAGTCAAATCGTCGATATGAACCGCATGTTACAATTTCAAATAAACAATATGCGAAAATGTCAAAAGTTGACATATGATATGTCATTCTATTCCGAGTGTCATTTAAAAATCAAAAGTTGTAGTTATTTCCGTTGAAACAGGAAGTGACCGAAAACAACCGAATACGTCAATTAATCCTAATTTATAAACCAAATTTATTTTTTTTATTTGAAAAAATTAAAAAGTTGGGTTGCGTTGGTTAGGTTAGGTTAAATTTATATATTTAAAAAAATTATAATGGTTATTAAGTAATCAATAGTAATGCCGATGTGACTAATATAATATTACATAGTTCCACTATTAATAGCTTTATTAATATATTTGTTTTTGTTTTCCCTCGGACCTAATTAGGATTTTCATTTTCTACGAGAACGGTTGTACGAGGCAAGCTGAAAGGCTCCGCTGTCGAGAATAATAAAGTTGTGGGGTAATAGCTGTTAGTACAGCCAATTAATTAATCAAACGAGGCTCCCTTTTACGCAACAACCCCGATTTTAATCGAATTTCCTGGCCCATCGACCGTACACCTGATGCTCGTTACCCACTTAGCCATTTTCAACTTCTTTTCTTGTTGATTGAAAAAGGAAATATACTGTTTTTGTTTTTAATTTAGGAATTAACTAAATTTCTAGACAGATATCTGGAAGAAAGGCTGGATATTTTTCTTTATTCTTATTACCCCCTGAAATATTAAGGTTTATAGTATAGTTTTAGACAAATTTGGTTACTAGCAAAAAGCCAATGATAGTCGGTTTACGTGAATTCTACGCAGTGTTATTTTACAAAAATCATTTATTCAGAAATAAACCTACCACATGGTAAATACTATAGACATTGTACAAAACACGTAAACAAACCTACAACTATTTAGTTAAATATGTCTGACGGCGGAGATTGACTTAACCAGTTAAGTCAATCAATAAGTTAACTCTGATTTAAAATGATAAGACAACTATAGACTGTTACTGTGAGGTTTCCTCTAGTTGTCAGTCTACAGTAAAGTGCCGTCAATCTCAAAATTGACTGTTCAAATACTTAGCTTGTAAAAACAATATTAGTAATAGTTTCTTATTGATTTATGCTTGGAAATAATTGGGTTTTCAGTTCCAAGGCGTGTCCTCGTTTTCTAGTGTTAATTTTTAATAAGACGTTAAATTTTTAATAAGATGCTTTTAATAGAAGAGAAAACTCTGAGCATTTCATTAGTTACTACTAACTACTTACTAGCTAAAGTTTATGTAGAGACAGAAAATACCGTATGATCGAAAAAGGGCGCTCAGTTGGCAAATGACGATTGATAACATTACCCATAAAATTTTACATATAAAATGACAGCGATCTTCATTTCATAGCCATCGCTGCCGCCGTTTTCATTCGATTATATTGTAGAATTTCCTTGTGAATTAAAATGACAGGCACAACTATCAGTGTAATCGATGGACAACTTGGTTGGACAGACTGGTACTGTTTGATCGAACAAAAACGTCGACCAATTGGCTTGGAAATGATGACCAATGACATTCCCCATAAAATTTTACATATAAAATGAGAACAATCTTCATTTCATAGCCATCGCTGGCGTAGTTTTTTTTCGATCATACAGTACATAATCATATATACGGGGTTGTCCGAACTGTATTCCGGAAACTTCGGCAGCATATTCTGCAGATAAAAATAAGTAAAAAAGTTCGTATAAATGTATGTCCGAAAATGCTTAGTTTCGGAGATACAGGGTGTAGAAGTTTCATTTTTATTTCGATTTTTTCCAAATAATTTCTGAAGTAGTGTCAATATTTTGATGAAAATTGGTGTCTGGCAGTTTATTGACATGAGAAATTTGATTTTGATGTCAATATGACTCCTATTTGTAGGGGGCGCCACCTACATTACATGTGTTTTAACTGTTCTGAAAAGTAATAACTTTTCTCTCGCCCATACCTGTATAAAACTACTGAGTGAAAAAATATACATTTTCATGATTTTTTACGTAAAAAATGTCTCTTGGTAAGAATGGCTACGAGCAACCGTACTTAAGATATTTAGAATGGAAATAGTCAATAAATGTCATTATTGACAAAAAATTAAACGTGTTGAGAGTTATTTGACTGAAATGATATATTTAGGAACTTTTTATTTTTTTAAATTAATCATAACTTTTTAATAAAATGAAAAATATACGAAATAATATACATGTTCACAAATTGTAGAGAGAAACAAGCCCTATAACATAGGATACAACATTTTAATGAACAGTGCTTTCCATAAAATCAATAAAATGAAAAATATACGAAATAATATACATGTACTGATTTCTTTCGAAAATCGACAACTATGAAACTATGAACCCTTCCCGGACCCAAACGGTACATTGTGAGACAGGAAATTGTAGAGAGAAACATGCCCTATAACATAGGATACAACATTTTAATGAACAGTGCTTTCCATAAAATCAATAAAATGAAAAATATACGAAATAATATACATGTACTGATTTCTTTCGAAAATCGACAACTATGAAACTATGAACCCTTCCCGGACACAAACGGTACATTGTGATCTACTTTCGAACAATATCGGTTTAGTATAGGGTTGCCAACCGTCCGGTCTCCTCTATTCCACGACGGAAAGAGAAAACTTTCCGAAACGTTAAGCATTTTTTCTTTGTTAGGCAAATTTTTATTACTGTAAACACAACTTCTGACAAGCAGCGTCCGTTTAGGTTTAACGCCAGAAGTGTTTACAAAAAATAACTATTTTATTTTGTAGATTTTTCTTGCAGTGCAGTGGCGAAATACCCATAAAGGATTTTTTGGATAGATGAATCCGCCACATAGATATAGACATTTTTTATTTTATGTATGTTTAATTACTTACTGTTAGCTTATGTTTTGAAAAAAAAAGTTCTATTGAAAATGGTTAGTTTTGTTTTGAGTATAAGTATTTTTAAGAAAGTAAGAAAGAACATCAATCGCATACCGAAAATGGTTAGTTTTGTTTTGAGTATAAGTATTTTTAAGAAAGTAAGAAAGAACATCAATCGCATACCGTTTACATAACTTTTTGGTAAATTCTAGACATTTGGGCGAAGTTTCAAAAAATTTTGCCCTGTGCTTCTTTTTTAACCTCTCGCCCTCTATTTTTTTTAAAAGTTAGCTAAAAAAAAGTTAGCAACCTTAGTTTAGTAAATATTATGTGGCATAGTAACGATTAAAATATTCAACAAAGTTGTTAAGTTGTTTTTGCGGTTAGATTTCACGGACAATTTTCCAATTCCGGTCGGACCATCCTGGACACCTTAAAAACTCGGACATGTCCCAGTAAATCCGGACGTATGGAAACTCTACTCCCAGGGCTACTATGACCTCGTTTTTTTTCGATTATAAGACATTTCGAACACCCTGTGTTCGCTCCTTAACTCATCTTACATGCCCTAATGGCCGAAACGTTTCGAAGGAAAAACACGGGGGGAGAAAAACGTTTCGACCGTTATCGTGTTCCAAACTCATCGGGTTTCGAGCTGTGGCTCTCATCTCACGTTCTCTCTTTCTCTTTTCCGCAGGTCGAGGCACGGCATCAAGAGCAGGCAGCAGGGCGAGCTGACAGAGTTGCTCATCCATCCGGTCAACAGGAAGGTAAGGATCAATATTTTCCCTTTTGTGAGAGCGGCGCGCGGCTCACGTGCACATGCATTAGTGATGCGGGGCGCGGCACGGAACCGGCAACGATGCCGGCTGTGGGAGAAAAGGAGAATGTTTCGGGAAAATTGGGATGAAAAAATCGATACTATACGGAAAAGTTTTCATTTTTTTTGTAATTATGAAAACAAGTGTGCTTTATGGGTTTGCCATCAATGCCATTCACAGTTGGACTGGGAAATTGGAAAATTATTCTGAGGGATCAAAAAATTTTCGAGAACTTTCGCACAAAAAAAAATGCCAGACTCGTCACAAGTCACAAT